TGGCTGGGCCGCGGGGCCCCGCCAGCAGCAAGTGGGACCAAGAATGAGGCGGCCCTGGTCCCGGATCGGCGCCAAAGCTGACCGCTCCCTCGGGCTCCCGTCCCTGTGACAAGGGGGCTCCTTTCTCTCCCCCTTTGACTTTCCTTGACAATAGTCACTCCGATGCCCATTCCCACGGCTCCCGCCCGGAGGAGGCGGGAAGGCCTAAAGCAGAGGCTGTTCTGAGCGGAGATGGAGCTCCTCTGACCGGCCACCTGCCCAACGTGAGCAGAACAAGCCCCACTTGCCTCTTAATGATCTCGTCAGAGACCCGCCGCTGCGTTGCTGGTTTCCTGTCTGGGAGCTCAGTTCTTCTAGTTCCGTGGTCGGCCAACTGCGGCTCGCGAGCCACATGCGGCTCTTCGGCCCCTTGAGTGTGGCTCTTCCTAAGCCTTAGGAGGACCCGAATTAAGTTAATAACAATGTACCTGCCTATATAGTTTAAGTTCAAAAAACTTGGCTCTCAGAAGAAATTTCAATCGCTGTACGGTTGGTATTTGGCTCCGTGGACGAATGAGTTTGCCGGCCACTGTTCTGGTTGCTCGGCTTCCCGGGCTCCTAACTCGGTGCCAGGAATGTTTGTCCATGAAAAATGAAATAAAAAACAGCTGCTCTCCACGAAGTTAACGTTTCAGAAACCACATGGAGATTCACAGAGACACGGCGTTCTGGAATTCCAGGTGGGAGCTGGAGCGGAGGCACTGCAGGAAAACGAAGGCTCACAGGCGGACGAGCTCAGAGTTGGTAACGGGAAGGGAGCGAGAATGAGCAGCGAGAGCCCGGCCGGCCACGGCCTCCCCGTTCCTGTCGCTGGGATGCGGAGCCTTCGGTCGTTAAAGTCAGGGCATCACTCATAGTTTTAAAAATATTGTTATTGCTTTTAGAGAGAGGAAGGGAGAGGGAGAGGGAGATAAAAGCATCAATGAAGAGAGAGAATCACGGATCGGCTGCCTCCTGCACACCCCACACTGGGGATGGAGCCCACAACCTGGGCCTGGGCCCTGACCGGGAATCGAACCCTGAACCCCTGGTTCCTAGGTCAACGCTCAGCTGCTGGGAATCGAACCCTGCAGGCCGGGCTCCAGTCACATTCTTAGGGCAGCCACTGCCTGTGCACAACTCAGCGCTAGCACACAGGTGACACGGGGCGCAGGGACCGAAACCCCAACATTCTCTGCTCCCCACGGCTGGCCCCCTGGTCACCGGTCACAGTGGCCGCAGACAGGTGGCAGCCCACTGGCCGGTGTGAACGTCTGCGCTCACGGTTCCCCATTTCCCACGATGGTCGTCAGGACGCGGTCGTTGGTGAGAGCTTATTAAAGCAGGGAGGCCTCGCTCAGGCAGCTCGCAGCTCCTTGCCCTGGAGGCCCCCCTCCCCCCAGGCCCAGACAGAACCGCCACGTGCTCATGGATCTGGGCAGGGACCTATCCGTTCTGACCCAGGCGCCTGGACGGAACTCGAGGCCCACGGGACGAACAGGCCCATTCCCGCGGCCTCTGCGCGCGGTGTCTGGGTGAACACATTCCCGGCCTCCCCCCGAGAGCCGGCCCTCCTGTGTCTGGAGACCCTGCTGACCGGTCACTGGCCACCAGGCCCCTGGCGTGTTTCCTTCCCACGCTGTAAGGTCCCACCGTTAGCGCTCTCACTCTCCATCACGAGGGAGCTGTGGGGCGAGGCCCCACCCTGGGCCCAGCCCCTGCTCTCACCCCCCCCCCACGTGTGGCCCAGGCGCCCACGGAATTCCCAGTCCTTGGGTTGTAGGCCTGTGCCCCCCACGTTCCCGCTGAGGGCGTCTCACCATCACAAGAACCACGCGGTCCAGCCTCGACGCGGTCGCCCTGGGCTGAGAGCCCCACCTCACACTCGTTGTTCTTAGTGCTGAGTAGGAGCTGGGTGTCTGGCAGGAACGGCTCAACGCGCATGACTGTGCACTCGGACCCTCCCCCTGGAAGATCTTCCTGGAGAAGCGAGGAGGCAGAGGGACGGGGCTCCCTCCATCCCTCCAGGCTGCCCAGAAGGGGCCTCTGTGCCCCCCGCGGGGCCTGCCTCCGGCGTCCCTGTGAGCTCACACACACACAGGTGCACATCCTGAGTTACAGGTACAACTTGTGGCTAAATTTGAAATCTCTTTTTCTGATTTTTCAGTTGTTATAGCACGTCCTTCCCCGGCCTCCGCGGCCTCCACGGCCGGCTCGGTATAAACTCCAGGACAAAAGGCAGTCATTGAGCAGTGACGGTTCCCGTGTGAATGACCTGGGACCACCCCCAATCCTGGGCAGAGGTGGGTGGTGCCACTGAGCCATCCTAAGCACCAGCTAACTCACTGGGGAAGGGAGGGGGTGCAGGGAGGGTGTGCACGGAGGGGTGCCGAGGGTGCAGGGATAGGATGCAGGGAAGGGTACAAGGGGAGGGTGCAGGGGGTACAGGGAGGGGGTGCATGGAGCGGGTGCAGAGAAGTGGTGCAGAGTGGGGTGTAGGGAGGGGTGTGGAGAGGGAGCAGGGAGGGGTGCAGGGAGGGGTGCACGGAGGGGGTGCGGGGAGGGGTGCACAGAGGGGGTGCAGAGGGGCCTGGATACTGCGGCCCTGGGGTCAGCAGATGAAAGCCTGCACAGCTGTGACTGATGGCTCCTGCCACGCCCACTGCCCCAAAGGGTGTCCCATCGCCGGCCTCTCTGCGCTGTGTGTGAGGCTGTGTCTACGGCTGGGAAACCGTGAAGCACACGACAGTTTGTCATGAACTCCTTGTGCAGCTGTGTGCTTAACCTTCCCACTTGCCCCGAAACGTCACCGCTTCCTCCACAACCACCACACGCCACAGGCTCAAGGGGGCTCCTGACGCCGCGCCTACCCTCCACGCACAGGTTCTCGCAGAGTGAAGGCCCCGTTGTATGGAATTTCCCACAATCCTGAGGGAGAGGTGTGGAGTGTGTTAGTACCAGCAGGTGTGAGCTGACCCTGCCACGCCAATAAGCGGGTCACAGCCACGGACCCGTGCCATGGAAGTGCGGCCACGCACACGCATACATGCACACACATGCATGCACACGCGCACACACGGAGGGCAGGGTCAGGGGAGCGCCCGGTCCACACCCAACCTTGAACCTGAGGCCCCTCGGCCCCTGGCTCCTCCGAATAGACTTTCCCACACGACGGACCAGACTGTGCAGCCAGGAGACAGAGCTCTTTCTCCCAACACCGTCACCCGACCCAAACCACCCCGGGCCGTGGAAAACGGGGCGTTTCCATCCAGCAAGATGCTGCTGGCGCCAGAAAATCAGGCGAGGGACAGGGTGAGGGCCGGTTCCAGAGCAAAGCCGGGCTGGGAATGTGAACTCGGCCGAGCTCGCACGCAGTTCTCTGGGAGAGTCTCTGGGACAGTCCAGCCCAGCGATGGCGAACCTGTGACACGCGTGCCAGAGGTGACACGCAAGCTCATTTTTTTGGTTGATTTTTCTTTGTTAAATGGCATTTAAATATATAAAAGCTAAGTTAGGGTTTTTCAAAATGCTGACACGCCGAGCTCAAAAGGTTCGCCATCACTGCTCTAGCCTCTCAAACGCTGTCACTGAAACCGCAGAAGCCGACACGCCATGGCCCCTCCGCGAGGGGAGTGAGGAGGCCGGCCCTCGGATGGCGTGCAGCCAGCGTGTGACGGTGTCTCCAGGACGGGGAACACACGGGCCGGCTTAGCGTGTCATTTTTTCTGTCTCACTTACTTCCCGAGTTCGTAAAAGAGTTATTAGGTGCAGGGTTCGCTCACTGAAAATATTTTTTCAGCCAATTTTAGGTCTTGGGTGACAAAACAGTTTTTAAAAATAACTCTGTTTTCCCTCCACGTGGCTCACCCCCGGGGCTTGCGAGTGGCCACAGCCACCGGGTGTCAGGCTGTGAGTTCCTGCTAATGACGGTGTCATCGTCCCGGCAGCCGGCAGCCCGGCCCTGGCCCCTCCGCCTGTGGATGTCGGCATCGGACAGACATTCTAACTGTAACCGCCCGCCCTCCAAATAGAAAATCCGTCTAAAAGGAAACTCCATGTGCAAATGTTCCCACAATTCACGAGAAACAGCAGGAAGATGTTGTTGGTCTCTAGGGCTGTGTTTGCCTGTTTTAGGAAACCTAACATGGATTGGAGGCACAGACCATGGAACTTCCCTCTTTTGTTCATCCTCACCTGGGATATGTTCCCATTGGTTTGAGGGAGAGAGGGGAAGAGAGGGAGAGACAGAGAGGAACATCAATGTGAGAGAAACACACCGACTGGTTGCTTCCTGCACGTGCCCAGGCCGGGGAGGAGCCTGCAACCGAGGTCTGTGCCCGTGACCAGAATCGAACCCGGGACCCTTTGGTCTGCAGGCTGACGCTCTATCCACTGAGCCATGCCGGCCGGGGCCACCATGAAACTTAACAGATGATCTGACTGGTGTCCTCAAACATTCATCGACACGGAAGGCTGCAGGCCGCTGTCACATGAAAGCGGTCGCGTCACAGATAAGGTTTTTGGCAAAATTAACGGAAAAGAGACGACGGTACAGGTCGCTCCCCGGCAGTGTTGCTGCTCAGGGCGAGCCCCGTGGTGAGTGACAGACATAACCAGGAGCCCCTGACAGGGAGCTGACAACGACCGCACTTCCTTCGCAAAAACATACACAAGCCAGAGACGCCTTGTTTGCTTTTTTGCCGAAGAAACTATTTGGCCCTTCCCCCCGTGGACTGCAGTCCCCGCAGCTACTCCCAAACACCCCGCGGCCCAGGCGGCGCGGTGCGGGCAGGCCTTCCGTCGGGAACTGCCTTAGAAGAGGGGGTTCAGAATACCTTGGGGTTGCCCAGTGACACCCCCCTTCCCAGGACTCCCCCCGAGGCCCCGGTACTGTGTTTCCTGGGATTATAAGTAAACACAGGCGAGAGGCTCAGAAAGCAGCCAACGGGGTCAGGAGGCTCCCGTCAGCACCGCAGACCTACCCGGGCACCGGGGCGTCTTGTGGGCCACGGCGGTGCCGCTGATGGGCCTCCCGTTGGGCGTGACGCACCAGCAGTATCCCGTGTAGCTGTGGCACTGCACCTGGAGGCGACAGGACATGGCGTCAGGGCGGGGCCTCGCCGCACAGGCCGCTCCCCTGACCCCCAGTGCGAGAAGGATGCCCAACCCAGATCCCGTGCACACACGCCACCAGAGGCGCTGACCGCAGGCCAGTGTGCGCCGGCCCCTCCGCGGGCATCCGATCCCTGCCGTCTGGAGGGAGGCCCAAGCCCTCACCTTACACATGGGGAGACTGAGGCACCGAGGTGTCGAGAGACCTGCTCACTCCGTGTGCCCAGGGCAGAGGCAGGGAGAGGAGGCTGGCATCGCTGTCGGTGGGAGGCTCTTTCCATCAACCCCACCCCCTCCCGGGTCCCTCTGGCATCCATCCTGCCCCGGTCTCCCTCCCGGCCAGACAGGGGTCCCTCCCCATAGCTCCACCCTCTCTAGTTCTCTCTCTCTCTCTCTCCTCTCAAAGGTCAAATGCTGGTTATGAAAGTGCCCAGTTCTCTGTGTACAAATGCCCAACAGCCCCTGGGCTCCTGTCGCCCCACGAGAGCTGCCTCTGTCTCGGACTCTCTCCTCAGTGAGGACAGCAGCACTGACGACAGTCGTGGCCGCACTGCGGGGCGGGCACCGGGGCTCCAGGCGCTGCCTCTGACGGACGACGGCCACGGCGAGTCAGGACCCGCAGAGCAGCCTCGAGCAACGAGCAGGTGAGGGTGCCCCAGCCTTGCCACCAGGCTGCCCAGCCCTGTTCACACCGGAATGGCGACTTACAGCAATGGCACAGGGCACCCGGCTGGAAGGAGTGGGACCCACTCACCACCCACTCCTGCAGGTGAGCCCAGTCACAGGCGCCCACGTGGCGAGGGTCCCCACTCGGCCCTCGCTGCCCCACCATGGGAGGAACACATGGCTGGCTGCAGGTGCCATCCTCGCCCCCCCCCCCGTACCTCCTGTAGAGCGTGTACCTGCTGTAGAGCGTGTCCCTGCTGTAGAGCGTGTACCTGCTGTAGAGTGTGTATCTGGCTGTAGAGCGTGTACCTGGCTGTAGAGCGTGTACCGGCTGTAGAGCGTGTACCTGCTGTAGAGCGTGTCCCTGCTGTAGAGCGTGTACCTGCTGTAGAGTGTGTATCTGGCTGTAGAGCGTGTACCTGGCTGTAGAGCGTGTACCGGCTGTAGAGCGTGTACCTGCTGTAGAGCGTGTCCCTGCTGTAGAGCGTGTACCTGCTGTAGAGTGTGTATCTGGCTGTAGAGCGTGTACCTGGCTGTAGAGCGTGTACCGGCTGTAGAGCGTGTACCTGCTGTAGAGCGTGTCCCTGCTGTAGAGCGTGTACCTGCTGTAGAGTGTGTATCTGGCTGTAGAGCGTGTACCTGGCTGTAGAGCGTGTACCGGCTGTAGAGCGTGTACCTGCTGTAGAGCGTGTCCCTGCTGTAGAGCGTGTACCTGCTGTAGAGTGTGTATCTGGCTGTAGAGCGTGTACCTGGCTGTAGAGCGTGTACCGGCTGTAGAGCGTGTACCTGCTGTAGAGCGTGTCCCTGCTGTAGAGCGTGTACCTGCTGTAGAGTGTGTATCTGGCTGTAGAGCGTGTACCTGGCTGTAGAGCGTGTACCGGCTGTAGAGCGTGTACCTGCTGTAGAGCGTGTCCCTGCTGTAGAGCGTGTACCTGCTGTAGAGTGTGTATCTGGCTGTAGAGCGTGTACCTGGCTGTAGAGCGTGTACCGGCTGTAGAGCGTGTACCTGCTGTAGAGCGTGTCCCTGCTGTAGAGCGTGTACCTGCTGTAGAGTGTGTATCTGGCTGTAGAGCGTGTACCTGGCTGTAGAGCGTGTACCGGCTGTAGAGCGTGTACCTGCTGTAGAGCGTGTCCCTGCTGTAGAGCGTGTACCTGCTGTAGAGTGTGTATCTGGCTGTAGAGCGTGTACCTGGCTGTAGAGCGTGTACCGGCTGTAGAGCGTGTACCTGCTGTAGAGCGTGTCCCTGCTGTAGAGCGTGTACCTGCTGTAGAGTGTGTATCTGGCTGTAGAGCGTGTACCTGGCTGTAGAGCGTGTACCGGCTGTAGAGCGTGTACCTGCTGTAGAGCGTGTCCCTGCTGTAGAGCGTGTACCTGCTGTAGAGTGTGTATCTGGCTGTAGAGCGTGTACCTGGCTGTAGAGCGTGTACCGGCTGTAGAGCGTGTACCTGCTGTAGAGCGTGTCCCTGCTGTAGAGCGTGTACCTGCTGTAGAGTGTGTATCTGGCTGTAGAGCGTGTACCTGGCTGTAGAGCGTGTACCGGCTGTAGAGCGTGTACCTGCTGTAGAGCGTGTCCCTGCTGTAGAGCGTGTACCTGCTGTAGAGTGTGTATCTGGCTGTAGAGCGTGTACCTGGCTGTAGAGCGTGTACCGGCTGTAGAGCGTGTACCTGCTGTAGAGCGTGTCCCTGCTGTAGAGCGTGTACCTGCTGTAGAGTGTGTATCTGGCTGTAGAGCGTGTACCTGGCTGTAGAGCGTGTACCGGCTGTAGAGCGTGTACCTGCTGTAGAGCGTGTCCCTGCTGTAGAGCGTGTACCTGCTGTAGAGTGTGTATCTGGCTGTAGAGCGTGTACCTGGCTGTAGAGCGCGTACCTGGCTATAGGTGCCGTCCTCGCTGCACTCCGGGATGAACACCTGCTGGAACTCCTTCCTCGCCTGCTCCTGCGTGTACTTCCGCTCGGCCACACACCGGGACACGTCTGTAGGCAGGAGCAGAGCAGCCAGGTTACACCCCAGGAAGAGGCAACGCCCGAGACACAGGTGCATGCAGATGCGGGCGTAACGGCGCGGGGCAGCCACCTCCGCTGGGCGGGCAAGTGGCCCCCGCAGTCACCAGCGAGAGGCTGGCTGCTCCGAGCGGGTCCTCTCAACACTGAGGTGCCGGGCAGAGGCTGGGGGAGGGTTACTGGCTTGTCCTGGTGACTCGGGACCTGCTTCATGGCCAACGAGGGAACACAGCTGTGGTCCAGCCGGGTCCAGTAGGCGTCTCTTCAGGTCCCAGCGTGTCCACCGGAGCCCACGGGGTCCAGGCCACAGGCCCAGCGGGAGGGAGGGAGCACGGGGCCCCCCGGGAGCTGGGACGTGCTGGCCCACAGCGGGGTCCAGGTCACCCCCTGGAAACATCATCGGGGGCACCACGGGGCCTCTCTGCTTTGTGTCTGCGTTTCCTAGGACCTCAGAGCGATGCCAAGCTCCGCCTCGTCCCACCGCCCAGCAGTGAGCACCTCCGTCCAGCCTGCCCCGCCGCTCAGGCACCACCTCAAAGCCGCGACGCCAGGTGGCTCAGTGGTTGAGCGTCGACCTGTGAACCAGGAGGTCAGGCACAGGCCCGGGCTGTGGGCTGGATCCCAGTGGGGGGCATGCAGGAGGCAGCCGATCCGTGATTCTCACTCATCATTGATGCTTCTAACTCTCCCTCTCCCTTCCTCTCTGGAATCAATAAAAATATATTTTTTACAAATACTTCTCAGACACGACCCGAGGCACCGCGCGGGCCGCGCTCCTCAGGAAGAAACCCTGGGACTCAGCAAACGAGTGTAAAGGAAAAGTCGAAAAGCGCCAACAGAAACAGCTGCTGAGAAATGTGACTCCAGCACATCTCCTCTCGGACGTTGGTGGTTCCGTGTTGTCCACGGAGGCCTACAGGTCGCTGGTTACACCCTCGTCGGGGGCACAGCACCCGGAAGAGAGACGGTGATGTTGCCATAACTACACCTGTGCCCGACGGAGCCTGGAAACATCCGCGACTCTGCAAAGTATCTGGTTGTCTAACCGCGATGCCGGGCACCGGAAACTAATGCAAATGACATGGAAAGAGAAGAAAACACCTGAGCCCCCTAACCCTGCTCTGCCCCCGGCTTAGGGGAGGAGTCAGCAGGACGGACTGGGGGGGGGGGGGGC